AGGTCAAAGGTCAGCGTTTACTCTGAATACAGATGTTTTAAAGCAGCAATTAGCAAGAGGTTCCTGCAGCTTCCAGCTCAGAGCCGAGGTAACAGCCTGACCTCTAATCATCCTCAATTTCTTCCAGGCCCCGGCTCTGTGTGACGGTCGTCTCCGCAGAACGCCTGTTTATTTTTCATGGCACTTCCTGTTGGACTGAATGAGCGTCAGGAGGAGAGCGTCTGTGGGGAATACGCCCAGAGTGATGTGCTCACCCGCTGCACGCGCTCCGCCGCTCTCCCACACGAGAAAGCAATCTTTTACTCAAAGCTAATTACAACTCTATAAACGAAAGCTTTGACCGTATAAGGAGCTTCCTGTTAAAGAGCAACGCCAGCTGATTGTTACAGAAATGATGCTCAGTTTGATGTGAAGGATTTAGACCGACTTCTCAAACTGCAGTCAGTTTGTTTGCTTCAACCCAGCTAACTGTCATGAAGTAAACCATCATCATTCTGTTATTAAAGTATAAATATGCCCATTTTTAGCCATAAGTGGCTCTTAGATGTTGTTAATTGTCACAACCTTAAAAAGGAGGAAATTAATTTATAATTAAGCTGTCTTTGAGTTTTGGACCTTTTTGTGAACTTAATGCTGAGTCCAGTTTAGATCTGGTTTGGCTTTGTCTACACATAGATCTGCATCAGGCCTTCATGTAGATCTGAACACATTTTACTGGAATTTATCGTCCCAGAAGTTACTGTGATAAATGTTGTTGTTTTGACACCATTTTACAGTGATATAATGTTAATAATGGCATAATCATAATGCTGTAACTATTTAACACTGGAACTGGAAAACATTTTAAATATCCAAAATAAATAAACAAAACAACTGAGACAACAAATAAAATGAATTATGAAATCTCTGGAAACAAAATTGTCCTTAGAAAATGAGACCAAAACGCCAGACTGAAGATTTTTATCATCCAGATAAAAGTCGTCTTGTTTAAGCCAGGTTTGCATTTTGTTTTAACAAAAATTTTCTTGTTTTGAGTTTTTATCTTTTTGCAATGAGAAAGTTTCTTCTTTTAATGAGACAACTTTTATGTCATTATGAAAAGAAACTGTAATTGCTCATGGTAACGAGAATTTTTCTCGTTTTGTTTGATAAGACAACTTTTTCTTTTCAAAGTTATGGTAGCAACATTTTCCTGTTTTATTGAGTTTTGTATAACAAGACTCATTAAAAATCTTGTAAAATAGTCAAAAGTGTGTCACTATAACAGGAACTGTTCTCATTTTAACAAGAATTGTTTTGTTTTGTATGTTTTTATAATGAGAAATTTTCTGATTTTAGCAAATTTTGTATTGTTGTGTATAATGAGACAACTTCCATATCTTGTCAAAACTACACTGCTCAAAAAATAAAGGGAACACCCAAATAACACATCCTAGATCTGAATGAATGAAATATTCTCATTGAATACTTTGTTCTGTACAAAGTCGAATGTGCTGACAACAAAATCACACAAAAATCATCAATGGAAATCAAATTTATTAACCAATGGAGGCCTGGATTTGGAGCCACACACAAAATTAAAGTGAAATGTTCCCTTTATTTTTTTGAGCAGTATATATTTTTATAATGAGAAACTTTCTGTCTCATTTTTCCAATGAGAATTTGTTTATAAAGAGTTTCTGGTTTTAATGATTTTTGATCTTTGATTTTTGATTCTGGTTGTGAATTTATTTCCAACTTTGGCAGTTAAGTGCTTCCGTACGCTGTAGATTTAAAAGTGTTTTCTGTTAGTGAGTCTTTCTGACAGCAGCAGATAAATCAGCGACTTTACTGTAAATTATATCATAAAGTATAAAAACGATGAACAGGTTGAGATCAGAGTCAGAGGTGAAAACTGCTCTTCTCCTTTCAGATCCTCCCATTCCTCCACTGAATTGACCTTTAACCCCCATCCGCCTTCACAGGTCATCTCAGTAATGAGCCATGTGGCTCTCACTAATCAGGACCCCAAGGCCGTCCCATCCTCTGCCCGAGCGACGCAGCGGCGGCGGCTGAGCCATCTGGACTACATGCCTGCTCTGTCTCCACTCCGCTGGCGATTTATGCCCTCCTGAGGTGTTTTGCCTTTTAACTCGCTCTAATTGCCCCCCAGATGCAACAAAGATGTGGAGGCCGGTTTTTATTGGTTGCCAAACAGAGGTCATTGTTTTGGTGTCGCTTTGTCTCCCCGGCGCCGCTGACGTAAAGACAAACTTTGTTCCAGAAAAGAAAAGCCTGCAGTTGGCTGGGGGAGAAGAAAGTGATGAGATGATAAAGATGGCCGCCGTTAGAAACGCTCGGGCTGATGATAAAGATGGTGAGGGTTTATAGAGACGGGTTCTACTGAGACAACTCAGAGAATCCAAACATCCATCCATCCCTGCCTCTGTCCCGCCCATCTAGATAGTAGATGGAAAAAGTTACCAAATCCTGAAAATCCAGAGCCACACTGAGACACCAGCTTCTCCACTTTTCAGGTCAACAGAACTAATTTCACGCAGGTTTCTCAGAAAGTGGTTCTTAAGTTAACCTTTGACCCCTCTGACTTCAGGCACTTCAGAGATCTAAAAAGGAACCAACAAATGATGATCTATGAACAAACCGACTGTTATTTTTATTTATGGCCAAATTAACCAAAGTTTGTTTATTGTGATGATGGAAACTCTAGAGGTTAATTCAATTTTTGGCTCTATATTTAACATGAACAATAAATATAATCAGAAAAATTGAAATTGAAGAAATTAATTTACAAATGCAAAGATGAAAGAAAAACGACAGACTTTTTTTTTTGTTTGCAAATGTTGCCAAGACGAAAATTATAATGATAATTGGTATTATGTTGCCAAAAGTTACAAAATGCTATTAGTATGCATACATTTCTAGGAAACTTAATTTATTTACTCAAACTTTTAAATATTTACTACATCTAGATTGGAAAAAGAATAGGTTAAAAAAAAGAAGAGCAATAAATAAAACAATAAAAATTAAATACTTAAATTCTGACGTTATCTGTCTGTAGTCCTGATATTGGCCTGCTGTGGTCACCCGAATTAAAATTTTTCTGGAGGCGCCAATGTTTATATACACAACAAAGATAAATTTAGAAACACCGGCTGAGGCAATAAAAACAAGCTAAGATTTGGCTGTTCTTTACTTGCGAAACAATTCTTTTATTTTTAATCAGGCGGTAGTTGGGACGACCATCTCGCCGGTCTTGTTGCGGTCCTTCGCGTGGCAGTGGTAAACAAATATGGCGGAAGTGTTGATCGTTTCTTTCGGTGTTTCTCTGAGGTTTTCAGTGATTTTCTCTCTTTAAGCCACAGAGTATTTTTAGCTGGATGTTTCCGGGGGCTGGTCTTGTTGTGAGGCGGTAGAATGAGCGGTTGGGCGGGTTTTTCTGAAGAGGAGCTGCGGAGAATCCAGCAGAAAGGTAAAATAAAACCGACCTAGACTGAGACTTTAACCCGCTTTAACCCTAACATGAGCCGGTTGTACGTCCACAGACTCCGCTGGACCTCCTGCCGCTCCCCGCGGTAGGAAGCCTCCGACATCCAGCCGGAGCCGGCAACAGATGCAGCGGGAGAGAGCGCTTCAGTTAGCCGGCTCACAGACTCTCCTGCCGGGGCAACAACTCAGCACACCACCGCTGACGATGGAAAGTCAGCCTCCAGACCAGACAGGAGCTCCTGGTGCCGGACAGGACAAGCAGCAGAAACCCGCTAACATGAAGCAGAATAAGGAGGATCTCCCGAAAGCAGAGGAGGAGAAAAAGGAGGAGGTACCTGTGGTGAAAGAGCTGGAGAAGCAGGAGGTGGAGATGTGAGTTTGGCCTCAAATTTCACATCAAGTTATGATTTATTTTTCATCATAATAAATGTTTTCCAACAGTAAAGACCCAGTTGGTCAAAGAAATCATCAGGATCCACAAAACTGAATGTTTTAAAAACAAACTGAAGGTGGAAAAGCTTCTTTTTGTTTAATTGGGCTGATGACATCACAAGAGGCACAGGAGTGGAGCCAATCAGATTTCATAGTGAACTTTACAGCAGGCCTGGGCCAATGGGACTCCTCATTAAAGGGGATATGCTATCACATTTGTAGAATAAGTTCTGATGCAGCAAACCATCCCATCCACTGGTGGGTCTGTGCCTTACCAGAGGCACCAAGAAAATTCAGAATCCAAATCTCTCTGGTTCATGCTAATTAGCAACTTCTACTTCCTGTTTACAGCCATGTGTAGCATCAACATTTGACAAACTTATGCTTTGTGTAGTCTTGCTGATTTGCTCCAAACCAGTAGGTGGAAACGCGCCTAGTTCATATTTTTATTTTAGTGACATTTCTAAAGTTCCTGTAAAATTCACATTATAATTAGATGGAAAAATGGCTACTGTGGTTTGGACCATCTTCAGAACAGAACCAGTTAAGACTGCAGGGAGCAATCTTCCCTCCATCCAGAACTTGTAAAGGTCAAGGGTCAGGAAATGGGCAGCTAACATCTCTGCAGACCCCCCACATACTGAACATGAACTGTTGCAAATTGTACCTTTGTGACAGTTCAAAGACACATTTCTTCCCCCAGAAAAATTTAAATTTTTATTTTTAAATTTTCCTTTTTGTGCTTTTTGTGAAATTGTTTGTTTTATTGCGACTGCAGGAGAGAAAAGACGCGTCTGGAGCAGCTGCAGCACGAGCAGAAAGTCATCGAGGAGAGGAACAAGCTGACCAAAGCACTTCTGGCTAAAACAATCGCTGAGAAGTAAGCACTGCCGGGTTCCGGATCGGGTTCTGGATGTTGATCAGGTCAGATGGGGGCGGAGCCAGAACCCACCGCAGTAAACGTCTGCTGTGTTCAGGTCCAAACAGACCCAAGCCGAGGCGGTGAAGCTGAGGCGGATCCAGAAGGAGCTGCAGGCGCTCGACGACATGGTGTCCAATGACATCGGCATCCTGCGGGGCCGGATAGAGCAGGCCAGCTGGGACTACAGCGCCGCCAGGTGGGGAAGAACTCCAGGCTTCCTGACACAAAGCCTGTGCCAAACTGTGCAGAAGGACAAAATTTAAAGTGGCAGTATCATGTAAAATCAACTATTTTTTATTTCTATGAAGTTCTAATGTTATTCCCCTTGAAATTCAACAACAAACCTGAGGAATCATTTAATCTCCATGGCAACCATTCAGCTGTGCAAAACGCCAGGGTGACCTAGCATTTTGCACAGCTAAATATGCAAAACTCCTTCAGACTAGCCAGCAGCAACTAGCAAACAGCTGCTGAGCTCATTATAGGAGCTGCTGCTCAGAGCAGCGCTGGAAAAACATTAAAGGGTTAATAGAGGAGCCATGTTGGGATGACTTCCTGGAGGCGGAGCTTCAGAAACAGAAGGAGCTTCTTAAAGAGACAGAGGCCCAATTTCAAAGCGTTAAATTATGAAGTTAAATTTCTTTTGACTTGACCTGGTTTGTCATTGAGACGTTTCCAACAAGCTCTTGTTTTTTTGTTCTTCACAATTCAAACTGTATTTCTGCGGTCAGAGCTCGACGTCCAGGACGGTTCTGTTCTCTGATTGGAGGAAAACGACGCTTCCCTCACTTCACGTCTTCATGAAACTCTGAAGGAATCTGAAACTCGTCTGATCACACGTTTAACAATCGTCACAACCAATTTAATTCAACCGATTTTTAGAAAAACTGCAGGAAGTAAGTAAGTAAACTTTATTTACTTACTTACTTACTTACTCAGGAAGAATTTGGTCCAAAAGTTAGAATTTTCTTTAATCCAAAAGAAGTCGTAATAATGTCAAAATAAAGTTGTAAGAATTCCAAAATAGTCGCCGAATGTCCAAGTAAAGTCATAATAATGTGAGAGCGACGTTGCAGTAATAAAATTGTAATTTTATTACTAAACCTCCTGGAAAATAATTTCAAGTTAAAGTGAGGAATGTTGAGTCTTACTGAAGTTATACTTCATGTTTTAAAACATCATAACCAAATTATTATCAGCAGCAGAACTGAACCAGACGGACCGAGCCGCTCTGATCTCATTAACTCTACTGGAGCTTCTTTCTCATTAAACTACTTTATTCTAATATTATAACTTAATTTTCATCATTAAAATCAAACCTCTGCCTCCCAGGAAGCGTTATGAGAAGGCCGAGGCCGAGTACGTGGCGGCCAAGCTGGACCTGCACAGGAAGACGGACGCGAAGGAGCAGCTGACCGAGCATCTGTACGCCATCATCCAGCAAAATGAGCTGCGCAAAGCCTGCAAGCTGCAGCAGCTGATGCAGGAGCTGCAGCTGCAGCGGGAGGTGGAGGAGGGCCAAGCCGCCGCCGCAGAGCCTCAGAGGAACGGCAGCGGTGAGGCGGCAGCGCCATCAGCCCTCGGCAGCTCTGAGGTTCTCCAGGAGGAGGCGCTGGTCCAACTGAACACAGAACCAGACTGTAAACGGTCAGAAAACTGTGATGTGGCTCGACCTTTGACCTCCTGACGCTCAGAGCAGAGGATCTTCATCTCACTGATGTCTTCCTCACGTGGCTCCATCACCAGCTGAAGTTCTGACCAGAACCGGGTTTTATTCTGTGTTGACCTCCGCTGCAGCGCCCCCTTCAGGCAGGGCAGGTTTACCTGGAGGACTGCAGGTGTTTCAGGAAGTCACTGGTTTAAAGGAAACTTCTGGATTTTTTCTGTTTGGAGTCACTTTATATTCACTGCAAAAACATAAACTGACCAAGTTTTTCTAGTTCAGATGTTTTAGTTTACCTGAAATAAAATAAAACCAACAAGTAACATTTCAGCTACAAATACAAGTTAAAGTTGATAATTCCTTAATATTGGTGAAAAAGTTCTAGTTCCACTGATGGATTATTTCACTTATTGGATGGAAAAACGTCTCGTTATAAATTAAATGATTATTGACTTATAAGCTGTTTCTTGCTGAAAAGCTACTTGGAGGTTTTTCTTTTTTTAAGTGTACTAAATTATTTGTTCTAGAAACAGGAACAAACAAGTTTTGTGTTTTTACATTGCAGATTTAATGTAAGATGCAGTTTGTTCCAAACTCTTAAATATCTGACTGATTTATTTTAAATACACTCCGATAAATCCTCATTTTTAGTGTAATAAACTCAGTTTTATGCAGGGTTTTTTTTCTAGAAGAACTTTAAGCAGATTCTTTGTTTTACAGTAAAAGATGATCAAAATATTTCCAGATTACAGGTAAGGCTTGTGGACGCTCAGGTAAATGTGATGGTTGCCATGGCGACACGTGGTTCTGGTTCTGTCTGCTGATTCTCCGTCATGAAAACACTACATGAAAATCATTTTCCTTTAATAAACGGTTGAAACACTGACTGTGTCTTGGTGTTCCGACCCGGACCGGTCCGGTCCGGTCCTCAGGACAGAATCTGGGTCTGCGGCGGCGGCTCGAGCCGTTAAACCGCAGGAAGGTTTACAGCTCCGGTCACATCTGGCCGTCTGCAGCAGACGCAGTAAAACAGATTTTAATTGGTCGCCGGGCCGCAGCGGAGGTCAGCGTCTGAAGTCCGCAGCGGCAGGTTTCACCTCCAGTCCGCCGGGTCGGGTTCAGCCGGTCGGTTCTGCTCCAGACAGCTCCGGTTCTGGAAGGCTGGCTGTGCAGGCGCAAAACTTTAAAATAAAACTACAGATTTATTTCATTCTGCTGCAGTAAAAATGCATCAAATCATTTTTAAAACCACAGCAGCTTTAAAGTCCTGCTGACCCAGAATGAGAGTCCAGAAAAGGTTCTGGGTTCTTATTTACATTAGAGACGGGAATTTAACGCGTTGATGTTGATTAATATCGATTTTAACGCAATAAATCGCATTTAGGATTTTTTTTTCTCCCGTCGGAACCTTTGAACCTGCGCGTTTCCTGTACGCCCGTAAATCTGACGCACCAACAAACATTAATAGATGACAAGACGCTTTTAAAAACTTTATTTAAACTACACATAACTGTACATATCGCAAGTATTAATTAAAACATACCGAAAATAAAATGTCACAATATTCTAAAAAAAACTAACAATTATACAAACTGAAAACTCATGTTTTCATTAAGGTCTAATTGGAACTAAATATTCCTGAAACTCAATTTAAAAAAAAGAAAAAATGGTTTTCTCTTAAAAAAAATAGTGTACGTGAAATTTGGCTTCAATTATTAATAAATTGATAAAGAAAAACTTTGGATTAATTTTGCCAAACATGATTTAAACTGAAAACCTGCTGATGATGTGAACTGTCTCTCTGGATCGTTTCTGCTTCACAAACAAGACGGAAGGAAAACATTTGTTCTAATTTATTCCACATTTTAGTAGGAATGAATTTGAAATGAAAATGTTGCTTATTTTGACAATTTATGTTTTACAATTAAAATGTGACTAATTAATTAACTCGATTAAACATTTTGATAGACATATTTCATATTCAAAACAAGTTTTTGGACAAATTTTTCTTTATTTCAAAGGTGACCTCTGACCCTTTCTGCACTTATTTCATACATAAATGACCATTTTGCCCCTGGCTGTTATTTTCTAACAGCCAGGGGGAAAAAGCCATTTTTAACAAACTGTTCTGAAGTGACCAGAACCAGCTGAGCGGATCGGATCCCATCTGGTTCTGCCTCACAGAAACATTCACACCTGCAGCTTCCGGCCCGCACAGGTGAGAAGAAACCCGGATTTACATTTATGCCGTTCATAACTCATCCTCAAATTAATATTGTCCTCATCCGACTGTCACCTGCAGATGATTATAATTATATTTATTATTATTGGTGCATTAATTCACTGATTTGTCTCTAAACTCCTTCAGCAAAGTTTGAACTTTGAACTCCAGAATCGATGTTTCTGTTTGAATTTAATCTGAAATTATAAAACATTTTTGCTCCTTGAACCAGAAATTTCTGTTTTCACGGATGATTATGAGAGAATATGTGTCCGCACAGCTGGAAGATGAAAGTTATTAAAATGTTTCAGATTTAGGAGAGAACTGTGATAATGAGGCTCCTGCTGCTCTGGAAGCCCGCATGTCGCTGTAATCGGCTGCTGATCGCTTCCAGAACCAGCAGCGGCCCATAAATGTTCAGAGGAACCCAAACTCTCCGCGTCAGAACCGCCTGCAGCACATAAACCCGCACTTTGTTTTCATTTGACAGAAATTAGCTGATTGGATGATTGGTGTAAACCCGGAAGCTGGCTCCCTGCAGAGAGCCGCAGCTGATCTGGAGTCGGCTCGGTTCGGCTCGGCTCGGTTCGGTTCTGGATCAACTCCGCAATCAGACGCTGCGTCCGGGTTTCTGAGGAATCACGCAGCAATCAGGCTGGTTTACGGGACGGGGTCGGTCATATAGGCCCAATCAGGCAAATGAACGGGGCGGGTCGGAACCAGGTCCGGTCCGCTGCTGGGCCCGGTGGTTCGGAACAGGTCCGGTCCGCTGCTGGGCCGGGCAGAGCTTTAATGTAATGAGAAGAACTGATGCGGGAAGAAACAGAAACATTACCGCAACAAGCATCAAGGTCCAAACGGAACCGACCTGAAACCAGACAAATTAAATTAATTATATCCGCTAAAAATCTAAAAATTATGAAAATGTAAATATGATTAAAGCAATGAAAATATTTTAAAAACACAGAGAAATAAATTTAAGCCTGGAAAAAACATAAACAATAAAATTTAAAAACTGCAAAAATATTTAAAAAATAAAACACATAGGAACTACAGGCATGATTTTAATGCAAATATTTATATTATATATATAGTGGCTGATTTATTTACTTGGAAAAATCTAAATATATTTATTAGGGAAAAACTCCAGAGTTTTCCCAAATCTTTTGAAAATTCCTCATAAATCATATTTTTCTTTCTTTATAATTAAAATGAGTATTTTTAACAAGGTTATTAATACTATCAGGTTCATTAAGCTGACTGATGTCACCATGTCTCAGACAGTTAAAATCATTTTAATGAAATTTCAAACTAACAGAAAAATCATCATTTAACCCTGAGGTGTCCAAAGTGTGGCCCGGGGGCCGTTTGCGGCCCCTGGACTGACTGTGTGCGGCCCTGGCTTCAGTTCAACATACAAAATGGCTCAGAAGTGAATTAATGTGAATCTTTAGATAATCGCTCTTTGTGTTATCAGCCAGGACTTTTATTGAAAAGTGAACTCTGCTGATCCCAAACCCGCTGTAGTTTAATAAACTTGAGGAAATACAGCAAATATTTTCAAAGAAATATCAATTAAATCCTGATTTTATTGATCAGAACTGACTGAATTGTTCTACTTTTTCTTTCTTTTTTATATTGTTTCCCTATATTTTCTTCTAAAAGTAAATCTGCTGGACTCTTTAAGTTTTGGATCTGACATAATGTACAAATCTGACCACTGACGTGTTTAAAGTTTGTTCGGTTTCATAGCTTGATGATTTATTCCATTTTATTATTTTATAAGCATGAATTGATGATGCGAGTTGTTGAGAAAATAAATTTGAAATAAGCTAGTTCTAAAACCTAACATGTCTTGATTCAAATGGCCTAATTGTGGTTTTAAAATCAGTAACTTATTCTGGCCTATTGACCTTTAATTTACCTGTAGTTCCAGCAGATGGTTTGCTAAGATCGTTTGAACTGCCTTTTGTCTGTGTGGGAAAACAATAAGGAGAAGTTCCAGCTTTTCACACTCATCTGTGCAGGGGTTTCTGGCTTGAGAGAGGGTCAGAGATAGCTCCTGGTTGGAGGAGCAAAGATACGCCTTATTTGAATAAATTAAAGAAAAGAATACACCTTAACTGTAAAACTTTCTACACAGAAGTAACAGATTAGATTTGCTCTTGCAATTCTCCAAAGGCGTCTTTGCTTTTCTTCTTCTTTCCATTTATGTCAGGTAAATGAATGTATGTCTCCGTTGTTCTGCAGTTTCTGTGTAAGTTTATGCATTGTCTTATATTGGATTAAACTCTGTGATTCTGTGACGTCAACACGCATTGTTGTTTTCCTTGTAGCCGCACGCGGCCCGCCGAGAGGACCTGGGATCCAGAGGAAGAGAGAGCCAGACTTTTACCAAAGTTAACCAATTTAGAATCTCTTCCTTAACAGTGTCCTTCTAGACCTGCTGTTTGCATCATCATCATCATCATCATCATCATCATCATCATCATCATGCGGCCTCTTCTTCTCAGGTGAGTCGTTGCTCTTTAGGCCCCGCCCCCATCACACCTTCATGACGCTGATCGATTTACTGACAGGAAACATCCGGGGATTAAATCCGGTCACATTTTTTAGTTTTAATAGTAAAAAGTAAGAAACTAAAACTGCATAAAACATTTGATCTGACGGCTTCATTCCAAAGGTTCACAGGATTATTGCATCATTTCATTGTTTTTATATTTTCTGAGCTGATCGTGAGTTTTTCCTCCAGATGTTGCAGGGAAACAGACCGAGTTCTCATGAAGCGCCGAACAAAGACGCGGAGCCCCGGAGGAGACTCGGGGAGGCCGCTGCTTCCCCTCCTCTTTCTGTTTTTATTCCCGAGCTGGCACCAGAACCGACTCGTAGGCAGGAAAAGAGAATCTGGGGGGAGAGCTAATGATGAAAAAGTCTCCTCCATCGCTGCGCCTTCATTAAATACATGGAAAGAACGAGCGGAGAACATCTGGATCCAATCTGCGCCTCTTTGATGGCATCAAGTGTTTTTTTCCCAGATCGGGGGGAGGAGGGGGGGGCTGGAGGCTACGGGGTGTCTGTGGGTCCATGGCAGCTCAGAGCCCCCCCTCACACACACACACACACACACACACACACACACACACACACACACACACACACACACACCGGGGCGGTTAAACTGCAGCTGGAGGCCAGTTTAATATTCAGAGAAGCTGCAGAAACTCGAAGCTCAACCGGAGAAAGTTTCAGTGAAGCAGCGAACCGAACCGGGCGGAGTTCCCAAAAATGACACTGTAAAACATCACAGCTGCTTCTGGTTGTGTCTGCTGGCTTCTTCTCTCTGAGTCAAAGAAATCTTTCTGCTTTTCTGGAACTGAAACGTTTGAGTTTGTGAAAGATAAACTTACAGAGTTAACTTTTTATTAGATTTAATTTACAAAAAGAAAAAGACACTTGAGGAATTTTATTTATTTTAATTTAAACGGAGTAGCTCTTTTAAAGAAATGTGTTCAACTGGATGTTTTGTTGCATAACGTGAAATAATTTGGCTTAAATCTCAGTATAAAATTAAAACAACTCACTACTGAATGTTAAGGAGTCTTCACAACTTCAGAAAACTGGTTTTGTTGTTAAAACAACTTGATGAAATTAAAATTCTGAATTAAAACAATTTTCTAGTTGATTTTTGTTGCATATTAAACTTAAACCACCTTTAAGAGTTTTACAGTGTAAGATTAGAAATTCTTCAACATATTTTCACTCAAGTAAAACTAATCTGGTAAGAAATTACTCAAGAGTAAAAAGGTATTTGGTAAAAAGTTTACTCAAGTACTTTATTAATATTTAAAAATCACATCGTCAGACGGAGAAAAATCAGTTTAATTTAATGAAAAACTTTAACACAAACTGCAGGTGAGTCTGAGTTTTGGTTAAAACATTTTTCATTCTGTGGGTAAAATGTGGAGCAAAAATATTCATAATAAAATGACCCAAGTAAAAATAACATTTACAGTGTAGTAAAAAAACTCCTAAAAGTGAATTTAAAAAAAAACAGTTACCCAAGTAAATGTAACTGAGTAAATGTAACTAGTTAATACCCAAATGAAAGATTTCTTCCAAG